ACCCCTAATAATAACCTATTCTCTATGACACCTCCCCCTTTTACTTTTCTAAAGAAACACATTGTTGTAACCATAGTTCCTTTTCTAACTAGCACTTGACCATATTCATTTGAACTATAATGAGCATTTTAAACATTCGACAGTTTCTCTTTTGTCAAATAAACATTTAACCACTCACTCATTTCAGATGCATAACTCACCTACACTACACATACAACATGCATAGATTTCCAATTTACTTTAACTATAAATTTAGTTTGACAGTTGGTTTTATTAGTCTGCCGGACCTGGTCACAGTCACTCCTTGTGTCTCACTCGGTGTCTGCGACATTGGCTGATCCGCGCTGCTGATGTGCAGTTTTTCGAGCTTCTGCGGGCTTTTCCCAGTTGTTATCAGCATTTAGACATTCCGCCTCATCTCTCCTTCCCCCTTCGGTGCCTGCACCACGAATGAGCGCGGTGCACTCACTTGCGTTTTGATCGGCACTGGACCTTTCCACGACTTTTCCCCGTCCTGTTTCATCATCACCAGATCACCTGGCTTCAACTCGGGTAATTCACGCACTCCATGTCTCCGATTGAAGTAGAAGGCTTGTTGTGTTTTAGCCAAAGCGTCCCTTTCTCTCACCATCAGTCTATTTGGCCACTTTGGCTGAAGGTTTTTCTTCAACGTAGGCAGTGTAGTACGAATTTTCCTGCCGATCAACAATTCGGCAGGGCTTACCCCAGTAGATGAATGTGGTGTCGCGCGGTAACGCATCAAAGCGAGGAGCGGGTCATCCTGTCTGAGGATGCGTTTGGCCACTTGGACCGCGCGCTCGGCATGTCCGTTTGCCTGCGGGTTGTGCGGGCTCGATGTGACATGTTCAAAGTCATATTTTTCCTTAAATGACGTCCATGCCTCACTAGTAAATTGCGGACCGTTATCACTCATGATCTGCTCTGGTATTCCAAATCTCGCAAACGTAGCTTGCAGTCTGTTTATCACCTGCGCCGTTTTTGTCTTTGGCAGATGAAGAATCTCTATGAAGCGTGAATACAAATCCGAAACAATCAGATACATCTGGCCCTTGTTCTCACAAATGTCTATAGCCACGCGCTGCCACGGTCTGTCAGGTAGCGGGGTTGACTTCAGTGGCTCCTTCCTTTGTGTTTTCCTGTTTTCACGACAGAACATACACAAGTCAATTTTGTTATTTATGTCCGCTGATATACCAGGCCACCATACGGATGAATTTGCACGTTCTCTGCATTTTGTCAACCCTAGATGGCCTTCGTGGATGCGCTCAAGGATGTCCTTTCTCAGTTCCCTTGGAATGCAAATGCGTCTGCCCAGAATTATCAGTCCTTCACTTATTGACAGCGCATCTTTCACTGAAAAAAAGTCTCTAATACCTTCCGGTAGGTTTCTAACTTGCTCTGGCCATCCCTGCTTTATGAACTTTCTTACTAGTTGTAACTGTTCGTCTTTTCCAGTCGCTACTTCGATCAAGCTCAACTTCGACTGTGACACGGGCAAGCCGGCTATGACGGCGTCTACGTAACAGGCTATCTCGTTCACTGTAGGTCTACTGCTCGGTGCATCATCGCCTATTGGACTTCTCGACAGTGTGTCAGCTACTACTAATGTCTTCCCAGGTGCGTATTCCGCGGTCACTGTGAATCGCATCAGCCTCATTAAAAGTCTCTGGCAGCGTATCGGTACCGTGTCCAAGTCTTTTTTATTGATCAATGGTACGAGGGGTTTGTGGTCTGTAATAAGGCGAAATCTGTCCAGCCCTATGAGATACTTCTCGAATCTCTCGCATGCCCAGACCCCGGCCAAGCATTCTTTTTCAATTTGCGCGTACCTGGGTTCTGCCTCATTTAACCTCCTCGAACAATATGCCACCGGCTTCCAGCTGTCTCCGTGCAGCTGTAGTAGGACACCTCCCAGCCCGTAGCTACTCGCGTCTGCTGACACCGCTGTGGGCTTCCCTGAATCGTAGTACGCGAGAACAGGTGCAGTGATTAGAAGCTCTTTGAGCTTTTGAAATGCGCTTTCTTGAGACTGGTCCCATGTCCATGCTACCGTCCCTTTTAATAAATCAAACATATAGTTTATCATCCCTAGGACACGTTTCAGTTCACTCACATTTCTTGGAGCTTGCAGTTCTGAAATAGCCCGTACTTTCCCCGGGTCGGGCCTGACTCCTCTCTCGTCTATGACGTGCCCCAGGAAATAAAGCTCCTTCTGTCTGAATATACACTTTTCTTTGTTGAGCTTGAGTCCTGCGCGCTCTATCCTCTCCAGGACACGCCTCAGATGCTCGTCGTGCTGTTCTTGGGTTTCGCCGTGAACGATTAGATCGTCCATATAGACCGCAACTCCCTCCAAGCCTCCTAGGAGTTCGTTCATTTTGCGCTGAAATATTTCTGGCGCTATGCTGATGCCAAAGGGTAAGCGCTTAAAACAATATCTAGCAAACGGCGTTATGAATGTAGTGAGAAGACTGCTCTCACTATGTAGGGGAATTTGCCAGAAGCCGCTGGCGGCATCTAACGAAGAGAATATTCTGGACCCGGCGAGTTTGGCTAGAACTTCATCAGTCGTGGGTAGGATGTACCGTTCCCTTTTTACATTTTCGTTCAGTTTTTTCAAGTCTTCGCAGATGCGCATTTTCCCGTTAGGTTTCATTACTGGTACCATCGGCGCGCACCAGTCTGTGGGTTGCGTTATCTTTTCAATGACCCCGTACTCCTCCATTCGTTGGAGTTCGGCCTTAACTTTGGGGAGCAATGGTAAAGGCACTCTTCTCGCGGTGTGGACTGCGTATGGCTCTACATTTTCTTTTAGATTTATTTTAACAGGCTCGGTTCTCATTGTTCCCTGTTCACCGAATACTGCGCTGACTTGCTCGATTCTTTTAACTAAGCCCATCTCTACTGCTTGTTCTTGCTTAGCAAATTGTTCACGGTGTGACCTTCCATGACGTGAATTGTGAACTTGAACTTTTTATCCTTGTACTCCGTGGTGGTTTCAAATGGTCCCAAACAATTTATCCTCCCACCCGGGCTGTCATATCTCGCATGTGTCGACTCGACTTCACTTTACTTCCCAGCGAGTTAAAAGTCTCTTCATTCATAACGGTCACGTCAGCTCCAGTATCAATTTTAAAATTTACTCGCGAGCCTTGCACATTCAGTTTCACAAACCAATTCTCTGTGTCGTCTGCCCCAGTTTTACTTATCGTCCCCAGGTAATATGAATCATCATCACTTGCCTGTGTGTGTGTTCCTCTTATTACCTCATTAACTCTCCTTGAGTAACACATACAGTGTCCTTTCTTTTTACATTTTCGACACTCAGTTTCTGCTGCGGGACATTTTTCCTTGTTGTAATGTTTAGTTTTTCCACACTTCCCGCACTTGCCTCCGCCGATCATTCTATCATTTTTTTCTTTCGCTGGTTTCTTTTCATCCCACCTTCCCCTCCTTTCAGGTCGTCTGCGTGTAACCTCCTGAACACTGCTTGGCGCACCTTCCTCCTGTTGGCTCACTTGCCGGGCGATATCCTCCGCCTGCCTCACCATCAGCACCGCCGTGTCTAAGGTAAGGTCTGTCATCAGCTGTAACTTTCTTGAAAGTTCTTTATCTTTGATGCCAACAACAAGCTTATCTCGGATGTCCTCTGTTTTCTGTGCACCGAAGTCACAACTCTCTGCTAATTCGTAGAGTGGACGGATGAACATCTCGGCCTTCTCCCCCGGCCTTTGTATCCGTTGGTAAAAACACGCCCTCTCGTGGATGATGTTCTTTTTCGGGATGAAATAGTCATTGAACTTGTTCAGCACGGCGTCAAAGTCTTTTTTCTGCTCGTCTCTCTCAAACGTGAACGAGCTAAATATGTTTTCTGCCTCTGGTCCCATGGCATATATAAGGGTACTCACTTGTACCTCGCCATCCTCCTCCGCGAGCTTCGTGGCTATCCTGTACCTCATGAAGCGCTGTCGCCATGCGGCCCATTCTTGAGGTCTATCAAAGGTGAAGTTTGTGGGTGGAGCGAATTTCGCCATTTCTATTACTCCACAACTTCTGACACCATGTCAAATAAGTCTCACTTACAACGACTTTGTTGCTAAGAACTTATTTATTCAACAGAGCCCAACAGACACAGTCTCACTCCTTCTGTATTTGTCTTTCAGCTCCCAAGTCCCGCCCCCTCTTACTCTCCGGTATTCTATTCCCTGGATAGGTTGTCAATCAACATATATATAATAACCTATTCTCTATGACAGTTATCATGAACAGTACGTCTCCTCCGACTACCCTGAGTAAAGGCCCTCTGTCTCAGTCATAGATTAGTCACATATTACTTTTTCTCAAATCACGTATACAGGGTCTCACACACACACACACACACACACACACACAGAGATAAGGGTTAATAGTTCTTTGTTCGATCAAGGTAGCAGAGAATCATGGGACTCCACATGCAATCCTTGCATTTTACTACCTTAATCTGAGTATGAAGATAAGAAAATGCACATAGAACACATTAAATTGCTTCCACAATAGTAACGTTTAAAGAAAACACAACAGAATTACTGAGAATGAAGCATTATTCATCATTAAGATGGTTATTAAAACAGTGTCTTCAGATATGACCCAAATTAGACCAGTCTACGTTTTTACGTAACTGAAAAAAAAAAAAATATGAACAAGATAAAAATATGATAAGTAACTTGTATAACTTGCTAACTTCCTCCGCCTCCTGATGACGTGTTGTAGTTATGTAGAAAGTCAAAGTGAAAGACGTTTGATAGAATCTGGTTTTCTTATTTTATCGTTTATTTTTAACTCTATTGTGTTGAAATCCATCTAAACCAACCATACACAGTCTTTAAGTCTGTCTCCGGTGAGTTTCTGTTTCCTCAATGAACACGACAGTCTGATCGAATTACATCTCTCATATTATTCATGTGCTTCTGGAAAAATTTGTTTTGAGTTTGTTTTATTTTCACAGGAATGATGACGATTATTATGATTGCTTTACTGGTGAATCTCCTCATAGAGACTTCTGGTAAGAACCGGTTTGTACTTTTTTGTACACAGTTTTATGGCTTAAATATGCCACACAGCTTGATACTTTAATTCAGTATAGATCAACAAATGTTCGTTTCTCGAGTAATTCACATGGATATGGCGCTAGCCTACTTTACACATGAAAGGTTAGGCTAATGTGAAACTCGCTATAACTCTGTAAACTCGTTGCTATAGTCGCTATAATACCACAATAATAAACCGTTTGCTTACATCTGATTAAACATCTGTGCCAGAAAAATAACAATTATGAGCAAAGAGCTTTCGCCGCATCATATTTTAAATCAGTGGAAGATTAAATGACGAATTAATGCCATTGCACACTGAGTCCGAAATTCGCATCCGAAATTTTCGCACGTAAAAAAAAAAAAATCGAATCGGGTTTGATTTTTTGCGTTTTTCGCATCCACAGCCAGCATTTTGAGAGGTTTTTTGACGATTCAGGGCCGGGGGGAGCTCGTTCCGCACATCATTGCACATGCGCAGTCCTTTCAGTTTCGGTTTTCAATTCGATCAAGTGTTTATGTTCTCTCGATCGGATTAGAAAAGGAATAAACCTCCCCTTTCAATCAGATCGAAATTTCGGATCGATTAAGGTGTGATTGAGCAGAAGAAAATAGCGTCCAGCTAGCCTGGTTAAAACCAGAGCATTCTCAGTCGTAACTGACTCGAGTTATGGTCTGGCAAAGCGTCATAGACAAATCATTTCCAGAGGGGCGTCACCAACGGACGTCGCGGATAGACCTAAACCCAATCAGAGCGATGAAGGAGATGACGTATGCAGAGCGGCGGAGACACATCTCCGAGTGTTGTTCTTTGCTCGGTTTTTAACTAAAAGGAAACGTTCAAACCGCTTAAAACAGACGCGATAGCTGATTGGAACGAGTGATGTTCGACGGCGGCATCCATCTTTGTAATGTAGGCTACAAAATCTGCTTCAAAATCCCAGCGCTGTCATCATCGTGTAAAGCCCGCCCCAACGCTTCTGATTGGTGCCGCGATTTCGGCGGATTGGAAATGGGCTTGAATGAGCTCTTTGCCGGAAGTTGCCTGGGTTTTCCCAGGCTAGCGTCCAGCAGATCAATAATATTGCTGAACATTAAATGTCCCCAACTAAGTAACCCAAAAGCCAAAGGTGACAAAGTCTGTAAAAGAATGGCAACTGTTATAGCCTTTCATTTTTCAAAAGTTTAAATCGGCTCAATTGTCCTCACGCAAAAATCCCAATCGCGCTGATTCCTACGGGAATTTCTGTAGCCTAAATGTGACCTCACGTTTAAAATTCATTACATCAATTATTTCCATAAAAATATGCTGCAGATTTAGAACCACTGTAATTAGTAAATGTAAATAAATACAGTGTTGATTAAAGGATTGGTTCATCCAAAAATGAAACTTCTGTCATTAATATCTCACCCTCATGTCGTTCCAAGACCTTCGTTCATCTTTGAAACATCTTTCTGATGAAATCTGAGAGCTTTCTGTCCTACTCAACTACTTTGATGCTTCAAAAAGTTCATAAAGACATCGTAATACTAATTCACAGAGCCCCGCACATGACATGCAAGAATTTTTTTTAAATCGTGCGCACATTTTACTAATTTGTTTTCTCGATTTTTTAAATCGTGCGGACGATTTACTATTTCGTTCCATAGATTTATAAATCGTGCGCACAATTTAGCCTATTTTTTTCTGCATGTCATGTGCGGACTCCGTACTGATCGTTATGAATCGAGTTCCAGGAGTTTATTCCAGATTTTCTGACACAATTCCTTTATATGATAAACCAATTGAATTTAGGCTTTTATTAACATATAAATATTCATCAATCCGAACATCAGTTGTGGTAAAAGGAAAACTCGAGCATGTTTGCTTGATGTGTAAGAACCAATGAGGTTCATTCTCGTGTTACGCAGCACGTTTGAGCTTCAGCAAGAACCAATGAGTTCCCTTTCGAAAGGAAACTCGAACTGCGTCCTGAGACGCTTATGGGGAATGCCTCGGCGTGACTGGTATCTGAAGCAACTGTCAAATCACGGCAATCGTAATGGCCAGCGACATCCTATGACATCATACTAGTGCGACCAGGAATTATATAAGGGGCACCTAGAGAACCTGTCATCCTCTTGTCTTCAGTGACTTTTTGTGTTTGAAGCGATCTGTACGAATCAGGTAAAAAAAAAAAAAAGTCTGAGAAACGCTTCAAGCACTGTGTTGACCCGTGTCCAAGGTTTTTGACACCCGATGACACACATGACTTGTGTGTAAGTAGCATGGCTCAGGCAGGCTGCAGATGTGTTGGGAGTCCGCTAGGGAAGAGAATGCTCGCGGCAGATTGGACGAGCGGTTCCTTTCTGGCCATAACCCTCCAGCTCCAGTGAGCCTTTCAATCCTTCCTGATCTCCATACTGAGATCACATGGCATGGAAGAAACCGTATTCTGACTTGGCTCATAAGCAGGCCACCTTGAAGCTGATCCTCCGGGTCGAGCTAGGTTGTTTAGCACTTTCAGCTAAATCAGTGTCCTAGCTCCCTAGAGTTACATCATGTTGCAGGCTCCTATGGAGCCTCTCAGTTAAGTTATTGCTTGGACCTTGGTCGATGCTCTGCTTGGTTGAGCTTGGTAGTACTCCCCGCATTTGAAAGGGTCGTTCTGTAGAGAACTCCTCTCCCGGAGTCTGGTCAGAAGGTCGAAGGACTCTCATGAGACCTCCCTGGTAGATCATATTATTAAGCTGTAAAGTACCCAGCCTCCAAAGTGTTTTAAAGGAGATAGCACTCTGGAGGTCCAGGGTCGAGCAGAGTAACTCCCCTCGGTTGTAAGGGTTGGAAAGCGTTATGTTGAGTCCTGTTCCCCAGGATGCCCGTCTTTTGTCCAGTGTGAGCTGGTTACTGCCTTTTTGCAGTCCCTTTCATTTGGCTACCTCTCATGAGGCAAGTAATGGTGAGAGGCTCTGTTTAGGAAACAGACAGTTTGTTGTCTGGTCCACTGAGGAGACCACACTGTAGTTGCAGCCGTTGTGTGTGCTGACGCGCCAAGTAAGGCAAGGCAAGGCAAGGCAAGTTTATTTATATAGCACATTTCATACACAATGGTAATTCAAAGTGCTTTACATAGAAGAAATTAAAATAATCAAAACAAATAAGAATAATTAAAACAGTTTAGAATAAAAAATAAAGTACAGTAAAAACAGTCGGACGAACAGTGGCACAGTGCTCATTCAGTAAATGCATAGCTAAACAGATGTGTTTTGAGGCTGGCTTTGAATGTGACTGCTGTAGGAGCACATCTGATCTCTTCTGGAAGCTGGTTCCAGCTGCGGCTGGCATAATAGCTAAAAGCAGACTCTCCATGCTTAGAGCGAACCCTTGGTATTTCTAGCTGATGTGATCCTAATGATCTGAGTGATCTGTTGGGTTTATATTCAGTTAGCATATCTGCAATGTATTAGCCCATTAAATGATTTATATACCAGTAATAATACTTTAAAGTCAATCCTAAATGTAACTGGGAGCCAGTGTAGAGACCTGAGGACTGGTGTGATGTGTTCATATTTTCTGGTTCTGCTCAGAATCCTTGCAGCAGCGTTCTGTATGAGCTGCAACTGTCTTATGGTCTTTTTAGGAAGGCCAGTGAGGAGTCCATTACAATAATCCACCCTGCTGGTGATAAAAGCATGCACAAGTTTCTCTAAGTCTTGATTGGAAACAAAGCATCTAATTCTTGCAATATTTTTCAGATGATAGTATGCTGATTTAGTTATTGCTTTGACATGACTACTGAAACTAAGGTCTGACTCTAGAGACACACCAAGATTCCTGACTTGATTTTTAGTTGTTAGACCCCTAGCGTCAAGGTATGCATTCACCTTGAGAACTTCATCTTTGTTTCCAAACGCAATGACTTCAGTTTTGTCTTTGTTTAACTGAAGAAAGTTTTGGCACATCCAACTGTTGACTTCATCAATGCATTGGCACAGGGAGTCAATGGGGCTGTAGTCGTTAGGCGATAGGGCTAAGTAGAGCTGTGTGTCGTCTGCATAGCTGTGGTAAGAGATTCGGTTCTTTCTCATTATTTGGCTCATTGGGAGCATGTACAGGTTGAACAGGAGTGGTGCAAGAATTGAGCCTTGAGGGACTCCGCAAGTCATGGATGTCCACTCAGACTTATGGTCTCCTATACTCACATAATAACCTCTCCCTTCTAAGTATGACCTGAACCATTTTAGGACTATCCCAGAAAGCCCCACCCAGTTTTCCAGCCTGTCAAGAAGTATGTCGTGATCGACAGTGTCAAATACAGCACTGAGGTCGAGTAGTACCAGCACTGATAATTTCCCTGTATCAGTATTTAAGCGAATATCGTTTATTATCTTTATGAGCGCTGTCTCTGTGCTGTGATGCGATCGGAAACCAGATTAAAAATTGTCAAAGTATCCATTCGAGATTAAGAATTTGTTCAGCTGATTGAAGACAACTTTTTCAATGATCTTGCCTATGAAAGGAAGATTTGAGATCGGTCTATAATTGCTTAAGATGGTCTTATCCAGATTGCTCTTTTTCAGGAGGGGCTTGACAACTGCCGCTTTTAAGGGAGTTTGGAAAACTACCAGAAAGAAGTGAGGCATTAACCACTTTTAGGGGATCTGCTTCTAAACTGTTTAACACACTTTTGAAGAAAGATGTGGGAAGTGCGTCAAGGGCACAGGTTGATGTTTTAAGGTGCTGTGCGATTTCTTCCAAAATTTTGCCATCAATTTCTTCGAAAACAGACATAGTAACTACATTCTCAGGTTGTGGTCTGATCTGTCTGACCCCAGTGCGGCTCAATGATGTGCTGATCACCTTTCTGATATTATTGATTTTCTCAGAGAAGAAAGAAGCAAACTCACTGCACTTGCCGTCTGAGAGCATTTCACTGGGAATCTGGCTTGGGGGGTTTGTCAGTCTCTCTACAGTAGCAAAAAGAGTGCGTGTGTTGTTTAAGTTGCTGTTTATAATATTTGAGAAGAAAGTCTGTCTAGCTTTGCCTAGTTCCATATTGAAAGCATGGATGCTGTCTTTGTAGATGTTATAATGGACTACAAGTTTTGTTTTCCGCCACATGCGCTCTGCTCTTCTGCATTGTCTTTTCATATTTTGCACAGCTGTTGAGTTTCTCCAAGGTGCTTTTTGTCTACCACTCTTCCTGACTTTCACAGGAGCAATATAATCTATTACACCTTTAACCTTTGAGTTAAAAGAATCAAGGAGAAAATCAACAGAGTCAGCAGATATGCTTGGTTTTAAAGATATGGCCTTCATAAATAGCACACTAGTGTTCTCCTTTAAGCATCTCTTCTTGACAGACACAGATCTAGTTTCAATGGCAGGAGAGATCAATATATCAAAGAAAATACAGAAATGATCAGACAGTGCTACATCCTTAATAACAATCGATGAGATGTTTAGACCCTTACTGATAAGTAAATCTAGAGCAGGGGTCACCAACACGGTGCCCGCGGGCACCAGGTCGCCCCCAGGGACCACATGAGTCGCCCGCAGGCCTGGTCTAAAAATAGCACAACTCACTAGTGAGCTGCGTCTGAAATGTAATTGTATTCTGTTGATATTCTTTTTCAATCACACCTGTTGCATTTATATAGCATATATTTATATATTTATATTTAAAAATGACAATATCTTCTGTTCATTATACATGAGTTTAGATAAGTTTAGGTGAACTCTGACTTACTCTACTTCAGGGGTTCAAACGTTGCTCGCGAGCTACCAGTAACGTTAGCTCGTGGCCTGATTGGAGGTTGCTCGTCAAGGAGCCGTTCACATATCGAGTCTTTTGCGTGCTCAAGTTCGTTATTTCAAATGTAGGTGCGAGGCAAGCGCGCTCATAATTAAAGCGACGCGCTATTTTTTTCCAGGTGCAGCGAGATGGAAAAAATGCAACTATTCAGTATGCCGCAAACGTACCGCAGGTCAACCAATCAGCTTCACCCTTTCCATAACAACATTGAAAGCTCAGTCAACATGAAGGATGGGGGTGCACCCAAACACTACGGGTGTTTTTCTCTTCTCCGTAAATAAATCTTGTAGTAGAGCTACAGCAAGTGTTTTTCGGTGGTGGAAATCTATTAGCTACTAAAACTTCTTTGTCATTGTGGAGAGCGCAGTGCATGACAACGACAGACGACAGACGCCACGGGAAAATCAGATCGAATTTTACTCTTAATAATAAAAGATAAGCTAATGTGCATTGTAAAAGTCAGTAATTTATCTTTTTTGGCTCATTCTTTTTATAAAAACGATTTAAAGGCTGAAATACTATGTGAGGTTTATATTTTTATAAAACATTTTTTGTCAAAACTTTATTTGAACTTGTACATACTTGTACAGTAGGCTAGATAACATGTTGCAAGACACTCCTTTAAAATCTAGCCATAATTTTTAATGTTATTATTTTAATGTTTATGTAAACAAAAAGTGCATATTGATGCTGATTTATTTGTTATTTGCTGGTTTTCGACATACAACTTAGTGAATTGATTTCATTGTGTAGTATTAGTACTTTTTGAACAGGATTCTGTGATTACCGTGATCATTTTGGTCACTAATGAAATTAAATTATCATGCCATTTCATATTTAGTCATGATGAACTATAAAATCAACTATAATTATGTGTTTTTACAATATAATATGCAAAGTACAATTTTCTATAAAAAAATAATCTCTGATTCTGATCTCTGACATTTAAGGGTGACATAGGCATACAAAAACCCTTTTAGGTCTAAAACAGTTTAGATAGTTGTTAATATGCGAGTTATGAGACATTATCTCAGAGATTTAAGTATTGTATTACATGAGTAGCTCTCGGCCACTTTCATTTTTAAAAAGTAGCTCTCAAATGAAAAAAGGTTGGAGACCCCTGATCTAGAGTGTGTCCACGATTGTGTGTGGGACCATGTACATGCTGAGTCAGATCAAAAGTTTTTAAAACAGTTTTGATTTCTTTTGCCATATTTGTATCATTATCTACGTGAATGCTAAAATCTCCAGCAATGGCAAAACAGTCAAACTCTGAGGAAATTGATGATAACAGTTCTGTAAAGTCCTCAGCAAAGGCTGGAGAGTATTTTGGAGGCCTGTAAATAATGATAAGTAAAATGCGTGGGGCACCTTTTAACACAATACCAAGATATTCAAAAGAGGGGTAGTTACCAAATGATGTTTGCTTACATTGAAAGACATCTTTAAAAAGAGCAGCTAAGCCCCCTCCTCTCCTAACAGCTCTGCAGACACTCATAAAAGTAAAGTTAGGAGGGGATGATTAATTGAGGACTGTTGCACTGCAGCTGTCTTCTAGCCAAGTTTCATTTAGAAACATAAAATCCAGGTTGTATGTGGTTATTAATTCATTGACAAGAAGTGATTTCTTTTTAAGTGAGCGGATGTTTAATAGTGCTAACTTAACAGTCTTACTTTTTGTTACTGTTGTCTTAGTTTGGCGTGTAATAGGCACCAGATTAGATGGGTTTGCTGTACGGCTTTTGAAGGCCTTGAACTTTCTATCATGTAATCGAACAGCAATGGAGAAAGATACAGGCACACTGGGTTCCCGCTTGTTTTGTAAACATTTGAGAAAGTTACTCTTTTCATAGCGGGGACCCGACACATATCACTGAGAGCTGGTATCAGTTGTTTTTGGTTCACCTCGAGCCGAGAGAGGAGGGTGTGGGCCCTGGCGTTTTTGCAGAGGCCGAAGAGCTCTCACAAGCGGAGAGCGAGCTGGGCCCGCAGGCTTTCGTGGTTTTGGGGCCTGCCGTTTTTTGGTTGATGTCTGGGGGCTTGCAGATAGTTTGGTTCCAGCAAACACCAGTTTTTCCATTTTCTCTGAGAAGCACAGAAGATGCTGTAGAGATGCTGGAGATAGGGATAACGTGTCTGGTGAGAGGGTAGAGGCTGGAGGGGGCTGTTTCTCTGGTGTTATTGGAGGCTGTAAAATGCTAACAAGTCGTCCTTGGGAGCTGAAACTTGGAGCAGTTCTAGTATGTCACAGTCTGTCTGTGGTGAGCTCTGTGGGCAAGGCTCAGCTGAGATTGTGTTCGTGAGCAGAGGCTGTTTTGGCTGAGTGGTGTTATCATTGTCCTTGTGTGATATGTCAACCGCATGTCCATCCACGTGCTGAAATGAAGTCCTGTGGTCATTCATACTGTGTCCAGGTGTGTGTGTGCCATTCAGGTTGAGTGGATTGACACACACTGCAGAAGGATGATGGAGGGAGAAGTAGATATTGTCCTTTAGCACTCTTGAACCAAGTTTGTTTGGGTGGTGGCCATCCTGTTGAAACAGTTGCCTCTGACTCCAGAAAAGATTGAAGTTGTCAATGAAGTTTACTCCTTTTATATTGCAGGTTTTTTGCAGCCATGTGTTGAGCCCAAGCAACCGTGAAAACCTGTTTGTTCCTCTTGCTGGGAGTGGTCTACTGATGAATGTTTGTACTTTCAGTCTTTTAAGTGTTTCAAAAAGTTCATTGAAATCCTTCTTAAGGAGTTCTGACTGCTCTTTATGAATATCATTTTTCCCCACATGAATGATGAGTCGATTTGCAGTCTTATGTTTCGTCAGAATGTTCTCAAGTTCCCTATTTACATCAGAAGTCGTTGCTTGTGGAAGGCAGCACGTAGTTGTATCCCTGCTAATAATGTTTCTGATTATGGAGTCACCCACTATCAGAGTCCTGGGCCCGGCTGCGCTCTGAGCTGAGTGCCGCTGTCTGCTCGACCTTGAGCGCCAGTTAGCAGTGTTAGCCTCTGGCTGATTCAGTCTGTGTTCGATCACATTCATCACATTCAGGGATTCCTCATTCATTAATACTTCAAATCTGTTCTCAAGATGTATAGGCGGTGGTAGGAGACCAGTGTTTGCAATCCTTGTCAGAGCCGTATCTGGGGTAGAGGAGGCTACTGCGGCAATATGTGATCCTCGTGACAATCTGATGTCTCGAGTGTCTTTGGGTCTCGCTCCCTGTTTGTGCCATCGATTTGTAAGTCGATCGGCTTGTTTCTCTACACTCAGTATGGCCTGTCGAGGAGGACTATATTCATGGGACTTACCGGCTGTATGCTGAGGGCGTCCATGACGAAGCTCTGTTGTGTGTTCCGTCTGGTTTGGTGGTCCCACAAGTAACTTTGTTTCAAGAACTGCAATCCTTTGTGAAAGTCTCTGGCAGTTAGTGCAGCAAGTAGATTCCAGAAGAGGCATTTTCTCTTATCCTTTAGAATGTAGGCAGTTGTACACTGTACACTGCAGCCGTTAACGCCGGACAGAAGGAGATGCACATCACCATATGGAAGGAAGCGTAAATGGATGGAGAAGCATAGATTACTGTAAAGCTACGTCTTAGTTTGTGTTTATCTTGGCAAAAGCCGAGTACAAATCAGCATGAAGTGTTAACATCTACTCTCGTGTAATGGAAATCAATGGAGGGATAGAAAGTTCTCAGATTTCATCAAAATGATCTTCATTTGTGTTCCGAAGATGAATGAAAGTGTCACAGGTTTGGAACAACATGAGGGTGAGTAATTAATGATAGAATTAAAAAATGTTGGGTGAACTATCCCTTTGAGGACTAATGCACATAACATTGGGTGTGTCTCTCAGAGTCGTTCACTGTTGTGGTTCCTCGTGATCAGATAGTGGCTCATGTCGGGTCCACAGTCACTCTGCCCTGCTGGATCTCTCCTCCTGAGAACGCTGAAGTTCTGGAGATCCGCTGGTACCGTCATGACCAGTTCAGCAACCCTGTTCTCTTCTATCAGCATGGGAAGATCCAGGACCAGGAGGACTCGTACAGGAACCGAAGCTCACTGACTCTGCGCTCAGATCAGTCTGTTGGACTGAAGGATGGAGACGTCTCTCTACGGCTGGAGAAACTCAGGATTCAGGATGAAGGTTCATTTCACTGTTATGTCAGTGGAGAACGGTCATATGACAGCAGTAAAGTGGTTCTCAAAGTCACCGGTGAGTCAAAATTCATTGTTTTTATGGATGATCACCTCACTAAAGAAATTCGTCACCTATAAAATTACTAATTCTTTAAAATCAAATGTGAATGGCATTTTTTAAATTAATTTTTATAATTGATTTAATATTTTGCTCCAGAGTTTAGTTTAAATTTATAAGGACTCTTTTTCTCAGATCCGCCAGATTCATCAGATTCATCAGATCCATGGAAGGCTCTTTTCTTCACTCTTCTAATCTGTGCTCTTCTGGGTTTGGCTGGGCTGATCCTGTACAGATACAGACAGAAACTAACAGGTACAATCTGGTTAAAATATTTAAATATTTATGTTGATATTCAATTTAATTCAATTCAATTCAAATTTATTTGTATAGCGCTTTTCACAATACATATTGTTTCAAAGCAGCTTTACAGAAAGTGATATCTTTATTTCAGGGAAGAAAACAGTTGAAGAAGGTAATTGAACTACACATTTCATTTTAAGACATATGAATCAGCTTAACAGCCAAATCTATTATGGTTTACAAATTCTGGAATATTTGTGGAAGCAATTAATAAATAAATCTTCAAAATGAAATTCTTTCATTTTACTTTGTGACGATGAATCTACGGAGAGACTGAAAAAAGAAGGTACTTGAAGAAGCTTAATCATTGCATTATCAGCAATAATATCTGAAGCAATAAACATCAAATAAATGCTCATGTGCATGTTGTAACAGGAATCTTGTACCAGAACACATTTCCAGTAAATAGTAACATATAGGCCCTTCTCAAAAAATTCGCATATTGTGATAAAGTTAATTATTTTCCATAATGTAATGATAAAAATTAAACTTTCATATATTTTAGATTCATTGCACACCAACTGAAATATTTCAGGTCTTTTATTGTTTTAATACTGATGATTTTGGCATACAGCTCATGAAAACCCAAAATTCCTGTCTCAAAAAATTAGCATATCATGAAAAGGGTCTCTAAACGAGCTATTAACCTAATCATCTGAATCAACTAATTAACTCTAAACTCCTGCAAAAAGATTCCTGAGGCTTTTAAAAACTCCCAGCCTGTTTCATTACTCAAAACCGCAATCATGGGTAAGATCACGCCTCTCGGAAGGGGTGATCTCGTGCCGTAACAGAATAGAAGAGGGAGGGACGGTGGGGGCTTTGGAGGTGGACAGGAAGATGGTGAAGGGATTGTGACAGCAGGTCGAGGAGACCATGGTCGGGATGATGGGAGGAGCGAAGGGATTGTCAGGAAGAAAGCCCACAGTGGAGATGGTGGAGGGAGGAGCCATGCCGGAATCCCGGCTGACGACACTAGGGGGACGACCGACAGCGATAGAGCCAAAGGTAGTGGAGCCCAGAGCGCAAACGGAAGGCCGAGGAAGCAATGTGACGCTGGGCGGCCGCGACGGAGCCACAGATGGAACCACAGATGAAACCACAGATGAAACCACCCCCCAGGATGGAAGTGAGGAACCAGAGGGCAGAGGCTGAGCTGGGGAGGGCGGAGCTGGCCAGAGTCGAAGGGGTGGAGTGCCAGAAAGCAGCGGACGGCGCGTAAGTCCGCAGCGGAGGTGTGGCAGTGTCCGACCCAGGTGGAGCCGACAGTTCATGGGATCCCGGCGAGGACCGATGGTCCACACTGGAGTCGAGGGAGGAAGAAGCACAGAAAGGGGACAGACGAGAGCAAAGTTTTCTCAGAGGAAAACGCTCGCAATGCACGCATACAGCCCCCTCAAAGACCCATTCACATAACGCACATATCGTGTGTGTCATCAGGTGTCAGAAAACGCTGACACGGATGAACACACATTCTAAAATTAGCAGTGATCACACGTTCAAACATAGAAAATAGAAGTCTATAATGTGTTATTTGTTTTCTAGGTCAAAGAGATGTGTTTTTAGTCTAGCTTTGAACTGACAGAGTGTGTCTGCTTCCCGGACAATGTTAGGAAGACTGTTCCAGAGTTTTGGTGCTAAATAGGAAAAGGATCTCCCGCCAGCAGTCGATTTAGATATTCTAGGTATTATCAACTGGCCGGAGTTTTGAGATCGTAATAGATGTGAAGGCAGGGATGTGCAGAGAGTTCCTCAGGGGCAGGGGCTCAAATGTAAAAAGGGGCATATATATATATATATATATATATATAGTAGTATTATAAGTATAATAGTATAATAGTATATATAGCCAACCGGCCAAAAGTTTGGACACTAAACTTTTAAGCATTTATTTGATGTAAAATACAGGAAAAAAACGTAATATAGTGAAATATTACTACAATTTGAAATAATTGTTTTCTATTATAATATACTTATAACCTTCGATACTTTTTTCAGGATTCTTAGTTAAAAAAAAGAACAGCATCTATTTAAAATATAAATATTTTGTACCAATATACACTACCGTTCAAAAGTTTGGGGTCAGTAATTTTCTTTCTTTCTTTCTTTTAAAGAAATTAATACTTTTATTTAGCAAGGATGTGCTAAATTGATTTTAAAAAAAGGGACAGTAAAGATTTATTTTTTATTCATCAATGAATCCTGAAAAAAGTATTAAAAAAAACATTAGAATAGAAGTGTCCAAACATTTGACCAGTAGTGCTGTTATACTATTGCTGCATAATTATCTATGCTATCATAATTATGTTTACTGCGTAATAAACGGTGTATCAATTTACATAGACAAAATACAAGTGACTTGAATAGGCTACTAGTATTACTTACCATTAATGCTACTTTTGGTGCTGGTTTTGTGCAGTGCTTTGTAGTCAATTAACATCCATTGATTCTCAGATCGCTTCATAAATGTAAATTCGTCTGTCCATGTAATTTTCAAACGATTTATGAATGACCTGAAAATTACCGCTCCACTTCACATTGTCCAATGAAATTTGAACGTGTGCCAGATGACGATTGGTCGGTGTATTATACATGGCAAACAGGCTTCAATGAATTATGTAATATTTTTAAATATGCGATATGTTGATTTTTAATTGAATCGACACACTAACGTTACCTTTTATTATTATTTAAAAAAAAGAAAGAACTGAAATAACCATATTTGGATTGAGAGCATCGGGACCCGAGCAGACTGTGGAATACCTAAGTCTTACAGTACACCAGCGCGTAACTTTCGCTACGGTTGCGCCTGCCGTCCACAGAGTTTTCGACCCTCGAAAACGGAGACATCTCTTCAGTCAAGTCCGAAGCAAGACAGTCACATGCAAGTGACGCAACCCACAGCAACGCGTATGGCAACGACACCTCCGACTGACAGAAGCGTAAAATTAAACGCGAATTTAGGGTACTTTGGTCTTGTACACATTGTCATGTTAATTATAATCAAATGCATTTTGTTTTATTGACCACAATATTATCATTGATATTTGTTTGAGAAGGGCACTTTTGATTAATTTTGAAAAGGGCAGGGGCTCGAGCACCCGCATGATACAAAAAATAATTAAAGAGCGTCTTGTGCTTTAATATAATATCAGATTTTAAAGGCTCAGACTTTTAGACCCCACTGTATATTTTATGAACTAGCCTATTTAAGAAATAATGTATGCAGTTTCCTATAAATGTCTACCAGAGCATAATGTGAATATAATTAAAACATACAACTTCAATATGGGAAATGAACAATTCATGAAAGTTAAACTATTTATATCCTTAATTACAGTTTCCCTTCCCTAAAATCTCTAATTATTTGTTTCTTATTTAGTTGTGGGAGACGAAAATATAGAAGAACTGAGGAAACATGCAGGTATGACATCATCTCAGTTATATATGCACATACATTAAGTGTAAATATGATCTCACACACGAGGATTAATAATTAATAATTGTTGTTTTATTATTTTTCCTCAGTTCAGATCACTATTGACCGTGAGCGTTTACATCCAGGTCTGAGGGTTTCTAAGGACTGTAAAACAGTGAGAGACGCTCCAGGATATAAACCCACTAGAGTGGGATTTCCATATGAATTATGTGCATTTGGAGCTCAAACATTTACATCTGGACGTCACTATTGGGAGGTAGAGCTGGTGCGTCCACCTAACCCTCCTAAAGACTACTGGTTAATTGGTGTGGCGAAACATGGAAATTTCAGTGTGAAAGACAGATCTGCTTTAACTCAATCAAACGGTTACTGGTTCTTGTGTTCAGACGGTCCTTATGGCTTTTACACCAGCTCTGATCCACCAGTTACTCTCTCACTGACGCCGAGACCCGAACGCCTGGGAGTTCTGTTAGATTATGATCTCGGTCAGCTGTCATTTTACAATGTCAAAGAGAGGAAACATCTGCTGACCATGAGCACCAGATTCACTGGATCAGTCGCTCCGCTGTTTAATCCAGGAGTAGGAGAACAGAGTCCGTTTAAGATTCTGGATTGTCCAGAACCTGTAGGATCAGCTGTAGAGTCCAGTGCACCTTTACTGAGTAACAGCTCAGACGCCTGACTGACCAATCCAGTGTTTAGACAGAAGGACGCTTGTGCAGATTCTGACACAGATGCTTTTCCCTCTTATACCAAATAGTGAGTTGTGACTTCTTTCCCACGTTCATCTGTGTCTGAAAACAGAAATGTTGAAGTGAGTTGTGTTTACATTTCTCACTGTAGAGTTCTTCATCCTCTCTGTTACTAACACACAACCAGAAACACATGACCTTACTATAACTATACTGTTATACTTCCCTGCATGTAAATTCCATAACCTGTGTAGTAATCTGTGGTATATTCTAAACTTGTGTATTATGAATATTGCTGGCTCTTACGAGAAACTGCTTGTGATGTTTCCATCCAAATGCTCAGTCTTACAGGAGGAACAAAAGTCTTCATGCCTTTAAGATCACGGGTCACAAAATATAATGTTCAAAATATTTCTTTTTACTGTATAATGATGCATAACATGTATAATTCAATATCTCTAAAGATTCGTTGACCAAATACTTTTGATATTTAACAGATGATGGTTGCACTTTGAGTTCTTACATTTCTTTCATAAAACATTGTAACTAATATTGAAATGCATTGATTGATGTTTCTGTGTTAATTAAATAAAACACACAATGATCAAGTCTGATACAGATGCTCAGAGTAAATACATGCGCTCAATCGCTTTGGCTCAATTCTCCAATGAGAGTTTTTAAGTTCAGATCTCAGAACAATCAGTTTCTTGTGCACATCAGATTTGAATGTTTTATCGATGTATGCAAACGCATGTGTTTTCAAATACAATTGTCTACAATTTACTCTATTCACTAAATGCACAGGGCTTATTGAACAAAACTGATGAGTTGAAATGATAAAATTATCCTAAAAATTATTTCATCGTGTGAGCCATCATGCGTGTGTGTATTCCATAAATGTCTGACATGTGATGTTTGTAATGTCTGCTAATGGCCTGCCATTGCAATGAAATAGGGAATCACAATCTAACATTCAAGTTTGGAAACATATATATGAAGTTTGTCCAGCATATAGATAGATAGATACACTGTTAGACCTTACCAGGTTTTTTTACAGTAAAATACTGGCAACACTGTTGCCAGCTAGTTGCTGTAATGATTCTTTAACAGTGACTAACTGGCAGGAGTGTTGGCAGTTATTTACTGTAATGATACAAAACCACTCTAAATTTACTGTATATAATATTTGTGTAACACCAGAATGACTACTGTATGATGCAATAATCTTATTTTCTTTTCTTCTTTTTTTTTTTTTAAAAGGAAAGCATATAAAATGTTCATAAAAATATATTTTATTCCTTTGAAAAAACAAATACATAACACGAAATATATATCACAAAATTACCAGGACACCACGGCCTAATGGGCACCCATTAGTCATACAAGAGGATAAGTGGACCAGTAGGCCTACTCTAGATTCATAGGGAGCTGCAGTGAAAGATTAAGTGAACAGACAGACACAGGTAAATTAGAATAATGTTGCAGAATATTAAAGGGAAACAAAATATGAATGAGATGAATTGTCTCTCTTTCAGGAAAGAACAGAAATGGCAGAAAAACATGCCATCGTTACATGGAATAACAATGAAACCAAAGATTTGTCAATAAATGCAGGAAAAATAAAACAATTAAATAAAATGGTTTGTTTTTTTTCCTTGTTAGAATTATTAGTTATTTATCCCCTTTTAATCTCTTTCTTTTTCTTATAGCAGTTAGCCTATTTATTTCCGTTAATCTCTTTTTTCGTAATTCAAAAGAGAAAAAAACAAAACAATCGTCCATACCCCAGTGAACGGTAAGATGCAACAGTTCAGGCCTACTGTCGTGGTGAAAGGGGAAAATACACGACTGTCGAGTAAGAAGAAAAAAAGAGTTCGATGTCAGTCTTTTCCTCCGTCCGGGGAAAACTAAGCAGTGAATCCGCTGAAGGCTTTGTTTTTAATCAAGATTCGGAGGCTCGCCATCTTCTTTCACATGAGTTCAGTCCGTGTCATCGCCGTGTTCACAATGAAAACACTCAACTAACTCAAAATCACTCGTAACCGCAACATATAGTTCAGTTCAAATAAAATAAAAACATATTTAGACGTTTTGTCTAGTTTTTAAATCACTATCACTGTTAATTTCTCTCAGAATTATCTCTGTGATTACCTGATTACATCCAGTTTACAACACATTTTATTTCTCTCTCCGCGCGCTGCTGACGTCATTTTCCCATTCGCGTCTCTCTCTCCTGATAGGTCAGCAGTAAACTACACCTCACATTCTCTTTAAGGCAACATAACATTCAAAATGCAGCATATTTTTAAACAACATGAGAAATTTAACAAAAAGAAAACACGTTTGAATCATTTATGGAAAAAGTTTTAACTGAAATGGATGTTTTTTTTTTTCACTAAGAAACAAACATTTTTATGTTATTTTGTTTGATACTGTGAAGCTGCTTTGACACAATCTATATTGTGAAAAGCGCTATATAAATATACTTGACTTGAAAGCAATTCTGAACTCAGTTATTACTTTTCTCTTCTTTTAGTAACCACTCTGGCTTACTATTTATTTATTTTTCTTAAGTTTTATTTGTAATCACACTGGGTTACATAAACAAATAAGAACATATACTAAAATGAAAACAAACAACAACAACAACAACAACAACAACAACAAAAAAAGCCAGTGCATGACCAAGTAAATCAACCACATTATCTATAGAACTGGCTAAATAACATCTTACAACCTCAGTAAAAATGATAAACAAAATACAAGCATTCTCATTTCCTCAACATTATAACAAAAAAGTAAAATAAATAAACAAATATGCCAGTGTTTTAACTTAATTCATCAAACATATTTTCAATACAAATGCAAATTAGAGAAATCAATATTTACAATAAAATATAACCAAATAGAAATATTTTTTTCTTCCTTTACACACACACACACACACACACACAATTTTTTAAATAAATAAATAAAAATTAACAAAGCCAGTGCATTTTAGTGAATTCTAGCAATTTTCTGGCATATTTCCAACATAACTGGCAAAATAATTACATCACCACAATATAAAATTATAACCAAAAAACAATACAAAAAAACAACAATACAAAACAATAAAAAATATACACCATCCAAAATGTAATAATCAGTCACCATTGACCCACATGTTGTTCCAAACCTGTAATAATTCAACAAAAATTAAATTACTAGTTTATGTCTTTATAAATTTAAAATTTAATACTGATTTTGCTTACTTAATTAGATGTTTTCCATTCAAATTCTGTAAGGCTCTGCAAAAATGTATGGACATGTGGATTCACATTTTGAACCTTTCTTTTAACTGTAGACCCAGTTTTGCGGCTAGTTCCTGATTTTGCAGCACACTTTGTCCCCCTTAGGATTTATCCTCACAAAGAACCTAATCATCAAATCAGACAACATCAATTTTAGAATTTTTTCAGTTAGTAAAAAAACAAAACAAAAATTAAACTGTATTATGAGAACCAAGTACAACAACAAATACATTTTGGCAACAAAGTTTCAAAACAGTAGTTCCTGTGTGTATTTGGACTAGCCATTCCTTAAATAAAACCATGATTGGACATAATGATTTTTAACACTTACCTTTGAATTAGCTCAAGTGTGGCACTGGCTGACTCCTGGTACTCAATATTAAAATATTAAATATTAACACACACATACTTCGGATCAGATTTTTGCAGAGAGTGAACTCCAAGGTCAGACAAAAGCACTGATTCATACAATTCAACAACAAAGTGGACATCGGTTGGACTAAAAAGTATCAGTGATATTTTTCCAAAGATATGCCCACAGCTGTTGTGGTCTACAACAACAACAAGGCCATTGGTATATTTGGTTCCTTTATAAACAACTCCTGATACCTCTGAAGTACTTTGATTGACACAGTTAGCTGCCCTTATTGCAGTTTGTATTTTTATATTATATAACTGGGCATTGAGTATATTTGTTTCACTGACAGATTGAATTTTAGGAGGAAATAACTGGCCACAAGCTAGGACTGCAGCATCTGGTGCCTTTCTGCCAAGGTTTTACAAAGATGCAAAAAATTGTGCAGTTTTCTTGCACAGTTCTTAAAATATGAATGTTTACTTTCAAACCTGAGGGTCCACAGGCGAATCAATGGTCCAAAATGTAATATAAGGTCTGCATAGTGCAACAAGTAATGATGCTTTGCTTTCAGACTCTCATAAGGAAACAAGGAGCTTCTTAAAGAAATATATTCTTGTGTTAAAAACTTGAGGTAGCCAATCTCATTATGACTAATTTTTGGAGCACAAATCAGCTCAACCATTTCTTTCAGTTTAAGGCACAATTGCCAAACATCACTATCGATTGGGTTTTCAATTTTACTTCCTACATAAATTGGTAAGAGCCTCAAGAGACACCAATTCTGTGTAGCAGAACCACCAAGTCGTCGGCCATCTGCTTTAACAGCACATGGTGCATTGTGAGAGTCACTTCCTAAATGCCTGAATTGTGCAATGGCTCTATTCAGCTCATTGTAGGTGAAGTGCTTTTCAACAGTAACCAAATGTTTTATGTAAACTGCCAAGTCATTAGCCACAATACCTTCAAATAAATCATGTCCTAAGCATGGAGGTAGTCCACCACACACATGAAAAAAATTAAGGGAATTGAAAACTGAATTGAATTTGATGCCATCTACCATACATTGATCAGTAGTTGTGAGCTGATCAACACTATGCGCATAATTTCTGTTGGTTCTTTTTAGGCCAAGATTTAAAGGCTGTTGGCGAAAAGTATCTCTATCAATTAGACAGTACCGACAGAAATACTTGTTGGTACTGAAATTTTCAGAAAAGCCACCTATACAATGAGACCCAAGATTATCCCCACAAATGACAATTAGCCCTGCTTTAAGAATAGTGCCATCTACAGACTGAAATCCAGAATCCTCTAAATATTTCAGATCAGCAACAAGGCGGGAAAAGACCTTCTGCTGACCAAACTGTTTAAAGTCCTCATCTCTACACAGTAAAACAAGCTGCATTGGGTCAACTAATGAGCGGTACTGTGGCAGAATCTCACCTAGGGTCATGTACACTGCCAGGATTTTATGTTTCTTTTTACCCGAGCCAAGTGGATTTACAACTTCAAATGCATCCTGGTACAACATAATTGATAATGATGATGGACGCTCATGAAAGATGGCATTTTGCTTGCTGCATGTGCCATCCCTTAAATCCTCCATCACTTTGTCAACAGAATAAAGCATTTTTGACTGGTTGTACTGTTCCCTCACTGATGTTTGCCTAAACAGAGATGCAAGGGTTTCTTTAACTGGCACATACTGACAAAAGCGTTCTTTACCAGCTGTGTCAGTGCCCAGGTATGTCTGTTTTGGCTCAACAAAGTTGAACTTCTGTTTGAAGAAGTGTTTTCTGGTTTTGTCAGACTTTAACTGACCCTTATTGTACAAAGTTAAAAGATCTTGTGTAACCAGTTCATCAATAAGTTTGTCTATGTCACATGATGGTATATCTGATGATGATAACAGCTTTTCTTTTAGTCTAACAAGCATGGCCTGCATTCCATCAACATGAACAGCTTGAAATTCCTCGATAATTGATTGAATTGTACTGGCAGGTAACAACATTTTGCCTTGCATCTTTAGGTAAAACAGAGCCAAGTTATGTAAAAAAGCATCTTCTTTAGTATTTATATGACTTTGAAAAGATGTTGTAGACGGTACCTCAGACAGATCTATAGGAGGTGGTTGACCATCAAGAGACAGATCTGTTAATGTTGCTGTCTCACCCAGTTTTTGGAGATAAGACTGCTGCACTGGACCTGGCTGCTTATGCTTCCGCGATATATGAGTGGTGAATGATGTTCTCACTCTAAAATATTTCGAGCAGCCTTCAACTGGACAAAAACTTTTCTACCATCTCTAATATGAATTCGCAAGTGGAAGCACAGCTCTGAAAAAAATTTACGAAAATTACTAGCCACAAATGCACACCCTAGGACCTGCCTGTGGATGCCTATGTATAACGTTATCTTGTTTTTGTGACTGCCTGTGATTTCTGTGCATATGAGACCTAAACGAGGAGAATTTCTTAAATGTACAAGGGCACTTCTGTATTCCACAGGCATATTGAAAATGTGCTCTATGTTGGTGTCTTTTAATATGTGCATAAAAAACGCTTAGTTGGTGGAAAGGCACATTGCAAAGTTTGCATCTGTACATTGTGGCAAATGTTGACTAACCAATTAAATGAATAAATAAAACATTACTAAATAAATAAGTTGAGTTGGTCGATTATTGATCAATTAAATATTGTGCAACACCAAGGGATGTAACTGAAAGTTGTGAGGAGAGGCTAAAACTCAGCTAACCATATAGCTTTCTGGAACCAAGGGAGTCCAAGTAACAAAAAAATAACGATTTAACTTAACATAAAGTATTCTAGAAACCTCACTTATATTTGAACAGTTTACTTACTCGTTGTAGAAGGTTCCATTCATTGTAAGGCTTAAAACGTGAAAACGTTGCAACTGAAATGATTAACGATGCACGCATGCTGAAAAGTAAACAACTATGACTTGACCGCCATGCAGGCTGCCTTAAAGGGGCAACACCTTCGCGTTTAGGATATGTGCGTGCGTATATGTGTGTGTGTATATGTGTGTGTTAATGCTTAGTCCTTGGTTTCTGTCTGAATATGTATACTCCACAATATAATGTGACGTAATGCACTCGAGTAGTTTCGGAGGACAGTAATTTACTGATTAATGTAACAGTTGGTACCTGTAATGGGTACATAGAGTAATTTACTGTAATTTATTATTTGAGCTGCATAAATTCTTAAATATTACAGTATGTTCCCAGTATCATCTGGGAACATACTGTTCCCAGATGATACAGCAAAACACTGGCTATTTTACAGTTATTTACCCTAGAAAATACAGCAAGGGCTAGCAGTGTAGATAGATAGATAGATAGATAGATAGATAGATAGATAGATAGATAGATAGATAGATAGATAGATAGATAGATAGATAGATAGACAGACAGACAGACAGACAGACAGACAGACAGACAGACAGACAGATAGATAGATAGATAGATAGATAGATAGATAGATAGATAGATAGATAGATAGATATTGTACATGCTAACTAATTTATCTTACAGTTCAACAGTAAATACACTATCTTCTTTATCTACCATAATGTCACATCATTGTTCCATATTTCATAAAATGTCATAGGAATGACGATATATTTTTTTCTTTAGTGAATCCAACTGAAAAAAAATAAACATGTTCTTCGAAATCTGTGTGAATTTAACCGTAGCTTCAGTTGCACAGATGTGCAAACACACACTGAGTGTTCAGATCACGCCTGTGTTTTATTGAGGGTCATTAAACAGACGTTAAAGTGAAAATAAAACAGGAGCAAAACCAGAAGCACATTTGATTCTCAGTAAATTCCTTCTGCTTTTATGAATTATAGGTAAATATTAATGTGTTGAATGTGTATAATGGCTCAAATTCATCGTAACTAACACTGCGATTTAACGGACGAGTCTTTGTCTCCGGTGAGTTTCTGCTTCCTCATTGAACACGACAGTCTGATTTATTATATCTCGAGTATTATTCGTGTGTTTCTGGCAAAATCCCTCAGAATTTGTTTTATTTGAGTCTGTGTGTATTTTCTCAGAAATGATGTCGATTATCATCGCTTTACTGGTGAACCTCCTCATCGAGACCTCTGGTAAGAACAAAACAAACACGTTTGGATTTCATTCAGTTTTACGGCTTTAATTTTCCACACAAACCAAATGAAATCTACAAATGTTCATATTTATCGAGTAATTTGTATATGTGAACACTTTCTATTAGTACTATAGATTAAATATTATGCAGACATGGAAGATTATTTACAATAGGTTCTTTGAGACACAATCTATCTTATCTCTAACTCCACTACTTCAATATTCAACATCAGAGTCCAAAGTGCAAAAATATCCGGTTAAACATTCACTGTTTACAATGCTTATGTATTTCTAATGTGTGCAAAACTGCTCTAGATTTAGATCCACAATGACTAGTAAATATTATGAATAAATACAGTATATATAGGCCTACATCAGTGTTGTCATATTTTTTTAATTTAATCAAATCAGAATATCTGTTGCCAATAAAATTTTATAGCATTTAAAACAAAACCGTTATTGAAATTGGGAATAAATTATAGCTAACTGAAAGTGAGAAAAGAACGTTCACATCACTGTCAATGAGTTCATCAGAACTCCTGTTATAATCAATAACGCCGTCTACACTGCATAAAGATTTAGTTATCGCCATGGTATCTGCACTTAGTCGTTCATGATGAGAGGAACTGTGTCGAAACGCTCGCTGAACAAAACTCCAGTGTTTCAGATTTCTTCTTCAGCGGTGACTAATGTAAACTCCTCTATTTGACCATGGATGTGGAAACTTTAATGGTTATAATGCTTAACACTGTAAAAACGACTTTAAAAAGCTTTGATGCAACGTGAGCAGATATAAATATAATTCTGCAATTGACACTTTTTATTCATTTCACTTTAATCACGACAGTCAATCGTTTTAGTTTTTGCACCTGTATCTTAAATTCAAGGCATTTATGTGAACATTGATGGCATTTTTACCCCAAGCCCCAAAATGTCCAACCCTGAAAATAAAACTTATCTATAATATTTTACATTCAGTATTTCTCTCTGTGTTTTTTATTAGCATTTAAAGCCGATGTAATAAACAATACAGGTGCAGTCTTTAATCCAGTCATTCCAATGGGAATCCGCGCGATCGGAAGTTTCGCTCGAGTTTCGCTCGTATTCAAGTTGGTCACTTGAATCCACTGCAATGACAAACATAAAACAGCTTGGTTTAAAAGTGACTTCTGTGTGAGCTGTACTTCAGTATTTTTTTCTACTTTCTGTGTCTCTCAGAGTCGTTCACTGTTGTGGTTCCTCGTGATCAGATAGTGGCTCATGTCGGGTCCACAGTCACTCTGCCCTGCTGGATCTCTCCTCCTGAGAACGCTGAAGTTCTGGAGATCCGCTGGTACCGTCATGAGTTCAGCAAACCAGTTCTCCTCTATCAGCATGGGAAGATCCAGGATCAGGAGGAATCGTACAGGAACCGAAGCTCACTGACTCTGTGGTCAGATCAGTCTGGTGGACTGAAGGATGGAGACGTCTCTCTACGGCTGGAGAAACTCACAGTTCAGGATGAAGGTTTATTTCACTGTTATGTCAGTGGAGAAAGTGCATATGACAGCAGAGAGGTGGTTCTCAAAGTCACTGGTGAGTCAAAAACTACCATTTATGTTTTTATGGATCATTAAAGCCTGTAAAGGGGACATTTTTTTGCAAGGGGAAAACACCATTACATGAACTTCCAAAGGAATTGAAGAATCTGTGGTTGACTATAATTCATTTTTTAACACTATTTTCCCACTACCATCTCAATGGAGGTGCCGAAGAGTCCCTATTCAATTATTTCCCTTCAATTAGGACGCCTCACTCTGCGAGAGATAGCTAGCCAGCGTCTTTTCTGCAAGGGACATCTTCACATTTTCCTGTTCACACAATACCTCCACATCATCGTAGTTCTTGAAAGAGAAATATGGCTTCCTCCAGGACTTCAATATCCAGAAGATAAGGAAGGCTCACAGGGGAGGAACGATCAAAACCCGCTTTAAATTGCACAAATCAATGGGAAGATAGGGCTCAACAAACTCACTTTCTTTCCCCCCTCCTAGCATGTCAAGAGCTGGACACCAGCAACATGCTCTGCTGGATCAAGATGTCGCCGAGCAGGCTTCCGAGTCCATCAGATTGCTAGGGCTGACAAGAGAGAGCTAAGAAAGCAAAGCTCCTTTCTCAAAATCCTCTGCCAGCTCAACCTGTGAGCCCACGATCAGAGCCACTGCACTGCCTTGCCACCAGTAGGGCCTGAACAGAAGGGTGCAGATACTTGCCTCTCATCCCTCGGGAAGAGAGCCAAGCATGAGCTTCCTCACTGTAAACTTGTCACAGTGATCCATCCCCCTCGAGGGCTGAATTCTGAATCCTAAGCAGACAACGCAGAGCTCCTCAGGTGTCAAATAACGAGGACACGGAAGCCAGACAAAATAGCTCAGGCACCCCTTTACACACACGCACTCCTCGAGTGATGTCAGGACTGCTGTCTGCCAATAAAATTGCCATGTGTATAATAAATGCTCAGATACTGGTCATGCTGAGGGCGTTCCCCATAGCGTCAACACCAAGATGCAGTGTCGAATTTCCACTTCGAAAGGAAATGTCTTGGTTACTGTTGTATCCCTAATTCCTAGAAGGAGCGAACGGAGTCATTACATCGAAAAGACTGACGTTATGGGAGTCCAATCGCCTTCTTCAAGTCAATGGACATTGGCAAGTGAGTTTGCATGGTATACGGGTATACAAGCTTGTCGGCAACTCAGTCATTCGGGTTTGTGCTGAGGAGCCGGGACAGGGTCCCACCCGTTTAGCAGTGATACGGGGTTGTGGCAGGTGGGGCGTATCATCTCAGTTACCTCCTTCAGGCAACAAGGGTTACAGCAGTAACCAAGACATTCCCGATCAGTCGGTTCCGTTCGACGTTACGTGGGCGTGAATGGGGCACAGCAACGAAAGGGAGTGGTGGGAACTTTGGGCACATATCCGGGCTGGGGTTCGAGGATTACGTGAGAGTCCCCTACCCTCTTGATAGACATGAGCTCAGTCAGCACTGTCTTGAGAGACAGGATTTTAAGCTGGACCGACTGTAGGGGCTAAAATGGCGCTCTCTGCAGAGCTGTAAGTACAGCGGAGAGGTCCCAAGTGGGGATAAGGCATGGTCGAGGAAGATTTAGTCTCCAGGCGCCTCTCAGGAACCTGATTATCAGGTCGTGCTTTACCGAAGACCTACTGTCTACTGCTTTGTGATGTGCTGCAATTGCAGCAACATACACTTTCAGGGTGGAGGGAGACAGCCTTCTCTTAAACCTATCCAGCAAGTAAGAAAGCACATAGCTGATCGGGCATTTATGAGGGTCTTCCTGGCGGGGAGGGACACCAATCAACGAACAGACTCCACTTAAAGTTATCAGCTCATCTAGTAGAGGGGGCTCTGGCTAAAGTAATGGGAATTAATATATTAATTAGGAATTTATTAAGCAGATCTGGGGGCACGTCCGGGATATTTCAAAGAAACACAGGGCCAAAAATGATCCGATGGTAGGCCACTTAAGTCCGGCTCGTCCTGTCCAGAAGCCACACATAGAAGTTCCAGAGATCTGGAGTGCCTTACGAGTGCCTTATGGTGCCCTGTCCATGAGAAAACAGGTCCATCCTCAGGGAAATTTCTCAGCTGTCATGAGGAGTATCATGTCCAAAAACCAGGTCCTGGTGGGCCAGTAAGGCACACCCATGAAGACCTGCTCCCCTTCCACCTGACCTTTCCCAGTTTCTGTGTGAGAAGGCTCACTGGGGGAAACGCATACTTGCGTAGGCCCGCGGGCCATCTGTGTGTCAGTGCATCCATGACAGCTGGCAATGGGAGGACTCCAGAGAGGCAAATAAGTTTACTTGTGTAACTCCAAATCAACTCCTTTTAGCTGCACCATCAGGGAGTGGAGTCTCCACAATGTGAACGTAGACCATCCTGATGGTTGATGTACGCCACTGTCACAGTGTTGTCCGTCTGGACCAGTATGTTTTTGTCCTGTAACGCTGGTCGAGTTGCTAGACGGAGAAGTTGCCAGGAGCATCACATGTTTGCCTCTCATGAAGGAGCTCCGGAAGCATAAATGGAGGAGCGATTACAGTGAAGGATGAGAGAGGACCAGGCCTGGGACAAATATGTTATGTTTTGTTTATGTGTGTGAGAGGCTGCCGCATTACTTTCGGTTTTGTTGTTTGTTTATTTTGGAATTAAAGTGTTTGTATGTTCGCCGGTTCCCACTTCCTTCTTCCCTGATCCTTTAACATGAGTACAGTCGGCTTCCTTCATCTCAGCCAGGTTCAGCGGGAGATGGTGTTTCTGGACTACTAAGGTGGACATCTACGGGGTGACTTTTGTTGCCCTGAGGGAGAGGTCTGTCAACCTACGCAGTTCCTGCATCAACTGAAGTTCAGAGAGTGCGGTGCAGAGAGACCTTTTTATTTTTGAAGCGCCCAGTGTGGGATCACTGCACTTTACTGTGCATGTTTGCTCTTTCTAGCGAAACACACCGCTAAATGCGCCGTCCCTCCGACACAGAGCATATCCTCTCGTGAATGAAGGCTTTATACCCGTATGTCCGGGGGAGTGGCTTGGTGATTGGGCTCCGAAGTTAGATCCTATAACGTCAGTCTTTTCTATCTAATGTCGAATGTGACTGACTGATAGGGAACTTTGTCCAACGTCAAGCCTGCTGTGAACACACATGAATTGAACATAGCAAAAAATGCAAAATGGCATTTTATGTTAACTTTCATTGTTTTTTTTTTATAGTTTTATAATTGATTTATATATTTTGCTTCAGAGTTGAGTTTAAATTTATATAGACCTTCTTTCTCAGTTCCACCAGATTCATCAGATCCATCAGATTCACCAGATCTATGGAAGGCTCTTTTCTTCACCGTTCTCATCTGTGCTCTTCTGGGTTTGGTTGGGCAGATCCTGTACAGATACAGACAGAAACTAACAGGTACAATCTGGTTCAAAAGAGTTTTCAAAAGAGTTTTCAAAAGGTTTTCATGTTTTATGCATCTTATGTGTTGATTTTTTATCTGTTTTTCAGGGAAGAAACCAGAAGTTCAAAGTAAGTTACATGAACTCACAGCATTTACATCTAAACTCAGTCATGGATCAGACGAACGCTTTTAGGCACAGGGTTACTGGGAGAAAATGCCTGTTCTTTTCTGAAAAGACTGTCGGATACAGTTAAAATAGTCTACAGTATTTACTTCCAGTCAATGCTGGAGATGGTTAAATGTGTAATTTAATGTGGTGTGAAAAGTCTGGAGAAATGATCATTTATAAAACAGATTGATAATAAATCCCTCCAATTAAATTTTCTTTCATTTTAGATTGTGAGGATGGAGCTATGGAGAAACTGACAGAAGAAGGTACTTTAATAAATTTTCTTTGATATATTTATAAAAGAGCCATAACTACTGAAGTGACCCTCTAATCATTACATAAACATCTACATGCATGTTGTAGCGGAAGAAAATATGAACATGGTTTGGTGGAAAATAGAATGAATGTAAAAATGAAACAGTTCAGGATCAGGTCTTTCCACATATGTGCAAATACAAATGAATTCGATTTACAAATCATTGTAATTTAGTTGCTTTTACAGTCTAACTGTAACTATAAGAATTTGCCACTTTCCATATTTGTTAATTAGACTTTTCTCTGTTACACATTGATAACTCTAGATGTCTTCAAACACAAACTGCAGTTTTTTTTCAAAACCTCAAATTGCTTGTTTTTCATTTTAGCTGTTGGAGAGATAAATATAGAAGAACTGAGGAAACATGCAGGTATGACAATCTCATTTACATATATTTCATATGCATATATATAAATATGATCTCACAGACACAAGTTTAAGGATTAATAATTGTTGCTTTGTTTTTTCTTCACAGTTAAGATCACTATTGACCAACATTATGTATCTGCAGATTTGAACATTTCTAAGGACCGTAAAATAGTGATGCACAGTAAAGGATATAAACACACTGGAGAGGGATTTCCCTACAAATTATATGCATTTGCAGCCCAAAAATTTACATCTGGACGTCACTATTGGGAGGTTGCATTGGCACGAGAAAATACACCTCCTAAAAACTGCTGGTTACTTGGTGTGGCTAAAGATGAAAATTTTCGTTCAAAAGACAAATCCTTAACTCCATCAAACGGTTACTGGTTCTTGTGTTCAGACGGTCCTAATGGTGTTCTCACCAACTCTGATCCATCAGTTACTCTCTCACTGACGCCGAGACCCGAACGCCTGGGAGTTCTGTTAGATTATGATCTCGGTCAGCTGTCATTTTACAATGTCAAAGAGAGGAAACATCTGCTGACCATGAGCACCAGATTCACTGGATCAGTCGCTCCGCTGTTTAATCCAGGAGTAGGAGATAAGAGTCCGCTTATAATTCTGGATTGTCCAGAACCTGTAGGATCAGCTGTAGAGTCCAGTGCACCTTTACTGAGTAACACAGAGTCTACACCGGACGCAAGCGGCGCGATGAAACGCATCAAAAGCAAATAGAAACCATTATAATCAGTGATGCTGTCTACACTGGATGCTGGACAATAGTAAACTGATGCTCTGCTCTATTTCTGATGTACAAAATGAAACATCATTGAGCTTTTAAGCTGGAATGTGACGCTATTTTCTTCTGCAAACAAACTTTGTTGCATTATTTCCCTGTAATCTCTGTAAAGCTGCTTTGAAACACTCAGTGTTGTAAGAAGCGCTGTATAAATAAAGGTGACTTGACTTGACTTAAGACTTTCTTTCTTCAGGCAAACACAGGAGGAGATGTTCAGAACTGAAACGGTTGAGCTTTAAAATTATATTTAAAAAAGCACTGTGAACTTATCATAGTGCACATGACTTGTGTGCATAAATGTTCTGAAGTTATATGATAATTCTGTGTGATGAACTGAACCTGATCTCGACACTAAACACCAGCAGTCTGAACATAAACTCCACACTCAACCGCAGGAATGATGGACAGCTGATGTTTGAGATGTTTGAGATTCCTGTCCAAAGACTGCACTCCTTCTTCACGACTCCTCGTCTGATTTCCTGCTCTTCTTCTTTTGGGCTGGTTTGGGAGCCGTCAGCTGATTGGCTGGATTTGATGCTGTCAGAATGAGAAAATGCAGAAATGTGAGAAAATCATTAAATGAAAATGAAAGTTTCTGTTGCATGTTTCCTTACCAGAACTGATGCTTGATCGTGGCTGATGAGGACACAAATTAAATTAACCCTTTATGGTACAGCATTGCCATATGGCAACAATTAATTTCTACTCATTTCCTTGTTATTCAGAAAATAATACAATATATTTCCCTATGGGAATTAAAGGGGCAGGCCTTAAGGTAGCCAATGATGTGCTGTTTTTAAGTCACATGACACTTGAATGTCCCTGCAGAACTCTCTTTCCCACGGTCTCACGCTAGACCCCTGTTGAGGTGCTCCAGAAATTACTCTATTCTCCTCGTTTCCAAACAGCTCTTCTCAAGGGGGATTTTTTAAACCATCTTTTATATGTAAATTAGATATTTTTCATCATAAATCAACTTTGTCTAACATAGTTTTACTGTAAATTGAGAAAATATAAGTGTTTCCATATGGCAACGCTGTACCACAGTGGAATTGCAGTAATGTATTTCTCCATTGGGATTTTTTATAGATAGTAGCATCAACAATATGATTGGAGTTATTCATTTATTTGAAGTGTTTATTGTAGTATAGTTGTATTGTATAAATAACAAATGGATTTCTTCTTTTGAGAAAGTGAATTCAGCAATATTTCACGGAAAGGGCAATAGTGCAGAGTTAGCTCTTCCATGATGAGTGAGGATAAGTTAGTTACAAATATATATTTGTTTTATATGATTGAAGCTATTTCATGAAATAAAAACTTATTTGAAAAAACATTTCATGGTTAGAATATAATGCGTACCATAGAGGGTTCAATGAAATGAAAGTGTTGTGAACAAACTAATCTCACTTTACAGATATAGTGGAGATAAAATAAGATTCTTACAATGTAACACAATCAGAGATGTTTATGTTGATACTTACAACAGGGATTGTCTGATTGTGTATATTGTAATATAGTTTTCCTATAAAATATTTCCTTTAATTTCAAATTTTGCCAATTAAATTGAACCATATTTTAATTTCAATCGCTGAAGATCTCCAAACACTTTTATTAATATATATATTTTTTAAATAAATACATCTATAACCCTATTAGAGGATCAGATCCAACCATTAAACAACAGCAAAACTCAAATTGTTCACTTAAAGTTTAAACAGGGTCAAGCAAAATGCAAACTCTGATTTCACTATGAATAATATTCCCAAAGCTGTTCATGCCTCAGATTAATCTTCCAGCAGAAGAACAGGCTGATGAAGCTTCTCTCATCCTCCTCCAAACTCATCTAAATTAAAACATTTATTTTCACTAACAATATATTCGATTATATGAGGTTTCATCATCTTGTCCATCCTAAACACACACAGCGATGTATTAATGTACTAATAAATGCACGCTGTTGTTAAGAGCTGTTGTCTGTCGTCTTTACTCGTGATCTATCGGCTGTTAGCTAGTCAATCGCCTCGTAAAAACAGAAAACACACATTATACATACACACATATTTATGAGACTCGCTCTGCATAGTAGGCTAAGCGGTTTTAATCATATGACGATGACGTTCGTTGACGGATCACGTTATGTTTAGAAACTGAAAGTTAAGAGGCAATACGGGATGGAAATCAGGTGCTCGTTTGATTGATTCTGATTTTCGTCTGTTTTTCGTTTATTTGGACTCTATTAGGCCTATTGTGTTGACGCGTCTAACAGCTCTTCTTCAGATTACTGTGATTTAGTCTTTGTCTCCGGTGAGTTTCTGTTCCTCGTTGAACAAGACAGTCTGATTTATTATATCTCTCACATGATTCGTGTGTTTCTGTATAAATCCCGTAGTGTTTAATTTGAGTGTCTGTATTTTTACAGGAATGTTGACTATTATTGCCGCTTTACTGGTGAATCTCTTCATAGAGACTTCTGGTAAGAACATGTTTAATAATAATAAACTTTATTTCATATAGCGCATTTAAAGCAACTTCTCAAGGCATATTACACAATAAAACAGACACAATTTTGCACACACTGAGTGTGGTTTTACAGCAAAAAGTGCGTTGTAATAGTCAATGTGTTAAAAAAAAAAAGTATTGATAAGCCTTTCAGTCAAAGGAAAAAATAGGGCATAGTAGCAATATTTCTGAGATAAAAAAAAGGAAATCTTAACAGTATGGGTCAAAAGACAAACTCAAATTAAATATAACTTTATTTATATTTATATAACTTTTATTTATTTATTTATTTAGTTTGGAACAGAGCCATCTACGTTTAACATTAGCGAACCAGCTTTACAGAGCTGATGAGGAGAGCCAATAAACAAAACCTCTTATCACTATTAAGGGTCATCCATGTTTATATCTCAGAAATGCGATGTGAGAGAAAAGAAACATCCACGTTTTGACCAGGCTTAGAGTGGATATAAATCTGAGTCTCATCCGCACAGAAGTGATCATTAAGCCTGAGTGATCTTAAGAGCAATCCTAGAGGATATATATATAAATGATCAAAATGAAGGGGCTTAAAACCGAACCCTGAGGGACGCCAGCCAATCTCAGACCTGAAACCACTCATAAACACAAACTGGCAGCGGTTAGAGAGATAAGATATAAACCAGGTTAAAATAGTCAGAAACACCAAAGACAGTTTCAAGATGGTTGAGAAGATTTCATTTAGTTTTATGGCATATATTCCAAACATGCCATTCCTGATAGATCAACAAATGCTGATATTTATAGAGTAGGCCTAATTCATATATGTGAACTCTTTCAGTTGGATATTACGACACTGGGTTACAATGCTTTGACGTGGAAGGTTATTACGTCAATGTGACACAAACCAAGCTAACAATTTTTTGTTCTAAGAACGTTTTCCAAACATTCTGCTTTGGTTACGTTAAGGTGTCCAGTTTTCTTAATGTTAGAGGAACGTTTTCTAAAAGTTTAGTATGATGTTCTTGAAACATTCTTTCAACTGTCTTTTTATCAACACCTCAACATGCTAGGAATGTTGATTTGTAACGTTCTATTAACATTAAGGAAGCAGGATGTGTTAATGTTCTTGGAATGCCATTTAAGGTTAGTATGATGTTCTTGAAACATTCTTTCAAACATCTTCGAACACCTGCTGTTAACACGCAAAATCACTGAAGGAAAGAGAATTAACAAGAACTGAACCTACAACTGATTCCCACCACTGCCTTAGATGAAATCATCTGAAGATAAAAGAAGATCAAGATCTCAGCAGAGGAGGATTAAACAACTCCACAAACTGCATTACCAGATTCACTTATTACTAACCAGACTGACTTTATTTCTGTCATAGAAGTTGTTATTGAGAATGAACAGAGGATTAGTTGTTGATGTTTTATTGAAAATGTTTGAAGTCGCCATTATGATGATCAGTGTTTGCTTTTGGCTCTTGACCCTGTATTTTGGTTAGATCATTTCTCTTTCAACAATTGCAAATGTTTTCACAAAATTCATTGATGCATTGACATTCTGCATTGATGAAAGAGATTGTGAAAAGGCAGATCAACATGTCCATTTTAATGGCCGTTAAATTACTACATTAAAGTAATTTAAACAACTGCTTTTTCTGTAGTTTCAAAACGGAAATAATTACGGTATTAGAAGCCTTTTATCAGCTGTTGACTAAGTCTTGTGTAATAGTTGAGACACATTTAGACAAACACTCATCATACAAACCTCAACAATGGTGACAATTATATAATATAAAAAATAGTAAAAAATAAATAGTAAAAGAATTCAGCTGCATAATTTATTCATGCTGCAATGCATGCTGGGAGGCATGAAGGAGTTTTGTATGCTGGCATGAAAGCATGTCTCCATTGTTGCATTTCATATGCCGATAATGTTGATGTCTGTGAGTGTATGAATAGCACAGTAGTTAGTTTGTCAGAAAATCTGATTTTTTACAATAACATCACATGTTCAGTAGCATAATATTTAAATGAATTAATAACAAAACACACTTCTGATCAGTGATTAGACTTCAGATGTGATCAGTGACGCCACTTCATGATGATTTCACCATTAATTAACAGTCAACATCATCTGATGTTATTCTGTCTTGTACTCTTCTGACACAATACACGTGTTTCTAAACACACTAATCATGCAGCTACCTGAAACACTGATCGCCATAATGGTGACTACAACTGTTCCTCTTTCCTTCAGTGATTTTACTCATTAACATCAGGTGGCTTTACTACTGGTCACATTGAGCATGTGAGGGTCTGATTTTGCCTAGGGTCAACAATGTAGCCTAC